GATGGCAATTTTGGACCCTAACGTTGAGCGATGGGTGGACGAGGTGAGAAATGAGGGGAAATTGTCGAGAACTTATCGATAGCGTTTGTTTGTGGTTCCAGTGCTGGTCTTTTAGATTGGAGAGTGCATGTTTGTTTTCCCATTCCTCCCTTTCACTAATTAGGACTTGAATGTGGAAGTGCATAGTCAGTTATCATGTCGAATACTGTCAGATTTATGACTTCCCTTATTTGTGTGCGACCTGACATGCTGACTGTTAGTTTGCTCAGGTTGTTTCATTGTTTGTGGAAGCCCATCCTAGCTTCCGCCTGAATTACAATGTGTAGCGGAGGTAGGTCTAATAGTACTTCCATAGCTGCTGTTGGTGTGCTTTTCATGCACCCTGTAATGCGATCTCTAACTGTATGGTTGAATTTTCCATGGGATATTATGACCAAGTCATCTGCATATCCCACTCCAGTACCTGATGGTTGTTGCTCTTCAGTACCTCTATCAGCTCGTCCATCACCAGATTCCACAGCAGGGGTGATAACACCTCGCCTTGCGGACATCCCTTTGCAATCCGAGCCGTTACTGTTTCACCTAGGAGCGTGGAGTGGATGACACTACCTACCTCGAGGCATGCAATCTATCCATCTGCAACATGTAGGTATCACCAATACCTCGTCGGCGTAGAGCTCTCATGATTGCCTCGAACAAAGTGTTGTCGAATGCTCCCTCTATATCGAGGAAGGCTCCCAACATAACTTCCTTATTTTCCAACGTACTTTCTACCCGCTGGTCGAGGTGATGTAGTGCTGTTTCAGTTGAGATTACTGCTTTGTAAGCACATTGGTCCGGATGTATTGGTCTGGTAGCCAATGCGCCACCCCGACTTTTGAGCACAAGCAGTTTTTCTAGAGCCTTTCAAACAAAATTATTATAATTACACCAAGTTATAATACAGTGCGAAGTTATATGAAACTTTGGCGTCCTCTGGAGGCTAAACTATCAACCGCACAAGGTTCGGTCAATGATGGTTTTTAATCAGAGCCTTAAAAACTACAGCATATCCAAATTTTGAAAAAATCTGTCGGAGATCCTTTGCCGAGGGGGCGACCACTCCCAAAAAATATGTACACGTATTGCGGAAATCCTATCATTTCCAAATGATTGCAGCGATTTCGGAGAATTTTTCTAAAAATTTGAGATTTCGGAGGATTGCGAGGCGATTTCAGTGACTGCGAAGACTGCAGGGGGGATTGCGAACTAATTTTTGAGATTGCGAGGTGATTTTTGGGATTGCAAAGTGATTTCTGGGATTGCAAATATGATTGCGGAACATATTTCATTCGATTTTTTCACTATCTTTTGAATTTTTATGATTTTAATTTAAGTTTTTCATTGATAAGTTTATAGATAGGTATTACTGGGTGACCCATTTTCAATGTTTTAATAGGCTTTATCGAAAACCAGCAGTGCAGAGATATCAAAAATGTGGGAGCACATTCTGGAGCTGTTTTCTAAGAAAATAACAATGGCGAGGACAAATCACAGCTAACTTGATATGTGTTTAGGAAATACAGGGCACTTTCCAAATTTTGTCCAATTTTAAAAGTTACTAATTTTTTTATTAATCAAGATATCCAAAAACCAAAAATACTTTCTGCAAGCAGTTTTACACGGAAAATCCAGTGGCATGACCAATTTTTTTTCCAGATGCCTCCGATTTTGAAATATTAACCAAATATAGAGCTTTTATAGCTTTACTTTCAATAGCTTTTAAGGAAAAAAATAAATTCTGTTTCTCTATAAGAAACAATGAGCTAGAAAGAGATAGATCATGAAATAAATTATGTGTTGCTTATTTATAATTTATTATCACCCCCAATTCATAGTTCAAATTGAAAAAAAAACAAGCTTGTTGAAATGTTGGATTGAGAATAGAAAGTAGCCGATTCATATTTCAACTATCTCTTTCTGATTCATTGTTTCTTATAAAGACACGGAATTTATTTATTTTTTCTCAAAAACTTTCGAAGCTATAAAACATTATAGCATTGAAATCAGCTCGAAAAGAGCAAAAGAGCTATGCAATGAATAAATAAAATACAACTCAACATCAGGGTTACTATTCCAAAATCGGTCGCATCTCGAAAAAAAAAAAAAAAAAACTTGTCATGCCACTGGTTTGTATTTGGAAAAAAATTTAGCCGTGAATTGTCTCCCCCATTGTTATTTTCTCAGAAAAAAATCTCTGCTGGTTTTCGATAAAGTCCATTAAAACATCAGAAATGGGCCACCCTGTACAGGGTGTCAAGTTATGAAGTATCACCACCTGTAACTTTTTTATTTTTGATCGTACATAGAAAAGTTACAAGTGGTGGTACTTTATAACGCCTTGTACATGTCTAACTGCCACTTTGAAAACTTGATTCAAGTGTCATTTTCCAATGATTCTGGAATACGCCCAATATACCAGGTGTCATAAAGAGCTGCATTCATTGGGTAATGATCGATTCCCAGAAAAAAACTGCAGAATCCGAAAATGAGAGCAACAAAAACTTGATGTCAATTATCAATGTACCGCAAAAACGCGCGAAATCCCGATCAACAGCTGATTTTTTATCCCCACTAGAGTTGATTTTGAGCGATTTCAGAGATTGCAAAGGTGATTGCATAGGATTTCAGCGATTGCGGAAAACGATTTCGGGACTGCAAGAAGGATTTCGGATATTGCGAACTGACTGCGGGATTTCAGAATGATTTCGGAGATGATTGCAAGTGATTTCATGCCAAATGTACACGTATTGCAGGAAGTGGTCGCCCCCTCGTCCTTTGCCATAAGAGAAGTGCCTCCTCCTTTGTTCAGATCTGATATTTCCATGTACAGAATGATCCTGAGATTTCAAAACTACTACAAAAATACTAGGTTGCCATCGAGGGGTGTTTCACCTACCCAAAAATGTGTACACCACAGCCAAAGTTCGGCAATGCTTTAATAACACTGCCTAGTCGATGCCTAAGGCGATTGCTGCGAACATTTCTGTCAATGCCGACAATGTCGCCATCAATGCCGACAATTCCGACATCAATGCCGTCAATTCTGACATCAATGCCGTCAATTCTGACATCAATGCCGTCAATTCCGAGATCAATTCAATGCCGTCAATTCCGCTATCACTGCCTCAATTTCCCTTATTTATCTATTTAATGCCCATAATGCCCAAATCATTACTCTCACTGCCGTAATTATTGCCGAAAATTTGTACACCAATGCCGATCGTGAAACACCTTTCGGTTGCCATTCAGATTCATGAAGCTATGGTCACTTCCGAAAAACCGGAAGTTGCAAAACTTTTATACATAAGTCAAAAGATGACATTTGCCAAACCTGAACTCTACTCCGTAATTCATTTCAATCGGAAAAGAAATAAAAAAAAGGCTAGAGCGAAAGTAATCTCGTTGACACCCGGTACCTATATTTTTTTTAATTTGAGAGAAGATAATTATTGCAAAAGAAGTACATGGAAAGAAGTTAGGGGAAAGGTAAAACAGAGAAAGAAAATATTTTACAGTAAGAGAAAATTGATATTTACTTACGTAAAAAAAAAAGAATAACAGAAGCAGAAGGTCCCATTCTATGTAGTTTTTATCTACTGTGTTCATGGACTGGAAGGAATTACAAAGAAAATGAGAAAATTTAGGTTGTTACGGTATGGTTCCAGAAAAGTCAACGGATGTTGGTTTGTTGAATGGTCGACGTTTCGCAATTTTATTTTTGCTTCTGCATGACAGTGGAAAGAATAGAAATTAGAGTCTAATAACCAAGATTGCCGGCTATACAAATTGCATGAAAGAAAAGACTTATTATATTCAAAATCAACTTCCCATGTCACCATTTAAAGGGCTTGGAATTATATAGGACAATTGGGTATGCCTGGATGGATACATTTGAGACGTTATAGCTTGCATAATTTGTTTACAACTTGCGAACTATGACAAAGGCCGAACACTTAACAAATATAATAAAAATTACACAAAATTCAACCCAAGCATTCACTGGTGTAAATTTGATGGAAAATATTTTTCCTCTTCCCTATATAAAGGGTGTTTGGTGGAGGGTTATTCCCAAGTTTGGGCGTATAGATAGGCCCATTTCGAAGATGTTTCATTAATACACTTGTGGCCTTAAGTTCCCCTCGCTTTTGTATTGCTCTCAAGAATTTTCAAAAATGGACCTTTTAACTTCTGTAACTTTTTTTAAAATGTTTATGAAAATGTTTTTTTCGTATGTGTTTGGTCTGTAGGGTATCCTTGATCTTGATGAAAGTTACAGAAGTTAAAAGGTCCATTTGTGAAAATTCTTGAGAATAATACAAAACCAATGATATAAAAAAAAACGAGGACCTTAAGGACACTAGTGTATCGATGAAATATCTTCGAAATGGGCCTATCTATACACCCATCAAGTTTGGCTTACCCTCCGCCAAACACCCTATATAGAAGCAACCAATAAAATGAAACGTAAAGAAAGGGTGTTGAACATAAATAAACAAAAACATTTAACAATATAGTGGGTGTTATTATGTTCTTGCAGGAAATGGAAATAGACGTTACCTAGATTTTTGACATATCTTATGGAAAATATTCTATTTTTTTTGACATGAAATTTTTGTGGAGACAGAAAATCTAAACCAAATTCTCAAAAAGTTTTAGGGCATGAATCTAATTAAATTAAGTACAGAAGTATTCAATTTAATCAACATTTTCTTTTCGATTTTGATCGGTACAGGCATTTAAATTCATTTAATTTAACTATTTCAATCCACCGCATTCCGCAAGAAAAACAACATTTGTAAAAGAACTTACGCGCAGGTAACTGCAAAAGTTATTAGGTAAATTACTTGTTTACTCTGACTACTGGGTCGCGAGTAAATTATTATTTCATGTTGTAAACAGATTGTAAACTTGTAACAATAAATAAATAATTAATTGAACTTATGAGTTAAAAAACTTACCAATTCAGCAATTTTTAGAAGACCAGGAGTGGTTTTGTAATAATCCAAATTGATCTTAATCCAAGCCAAAGGGCGCTCACTAGCCCCGTGGCTAGCAGCCCCCCCGTGGGCCTTATTGGAGGCCGCATTGTTGTTGGGGGCCTCTTGGACGTTGACGACGGCGGTTTCGGTCATCATTGGGCGCGTAATTTTGAATTATTTCTTCTTGTTTTATCAAAATCCGATCAACCAAACACCTGTTATGCTAACTTAACACTGATAGACGCACCGCGAACTCGACGATTACCCGCGTTCGGTTCGACTGCTACTGCTGCGCTGCTTTGCCTCCTGCACACCCTGCACCGGCTTGATAGAAGGTGAGACTACTACGGGAGAACTGAGAAGGCCACCAAGTAAAACCCTGCTGCTAGTGCTGCCGCTGCCGGACTGAGTTGATCGGGGTAGGAGGAAATGAGGACGTCTCCATAACTATGTCTTTCTTGCTTATAAAAAAAAGTCTGCTGCAAGAGTAGGTACACGGCCACGGCTGGGTTATTCAAATCGGAAGCCATCAGATACACGTATCTGATGATGTTCATTTACAAAATGAACCACCCACTCTCAATGCCTTTGATGGTACTAAAAGAGTAGTAAATAAAATGGAATTAGACGAATCATTAGTAAAATATTAATTAAACTTTTTTTTGCGTGTTTGGGTACCGGTACCTGATGCAATCACTATAAATTGAAGGATCACAAAATCATTTCATGGTGAAGCTCAGTAACAGCGAGCTGAGAATGTAACAATTTTGCTTGGTACCAACCCCATGGCTCCAGCCGCTCTGTCGCATTTCCAGAGTTAACAATAGATTTTTATTACTTAAATGTTTTCTACAGGGTGATGCCGCCTACGAAGGCCCAACGTTCTTAATTTCAAATATCTCTTTTGCTTTCTTTTCAGGACTTGTAGAAAAGATATGATGAGAACTATCATCTAGCACCACACTGGTTCCTCCTGAGACTAAATTTCATCCATCTAGTTTTGGAAGCTGAGAATCTGAATCTCGTTGAATTGGCCCAGTTTGAGATCCCATTATTCTCATTTAAGGCTTAAGGCATGTTGGAGTATATTACATGTGAATTCTCGTTCAGAGCAGTAGAGGGAGATCATCAGCAAAAAGTATTGATTCAACTGGGAGACTTATGTTTGAGCAGATACTGTTTATAGCCAAATTAAACAAAGTAGGAATGTGGACAGATCCTTGAGAAACTCCATTCTCTAATAAGACTTGCCTGGATATTACACCATTCAAAAATATATTAGCAGTTCTTCGTGATAAGAAATTGGATTTGAAGGCCAGGATATTTCTAGGTAGATCGTTTTCTTGTAATTTATCAATGATTGAGGGTCTCCAGGTAGCATCAAAAGCTCCATCAATATCCAAAAATACTGCAACCACTTCTTGTTTCGACGCGAAAGCATTGGCAACTTCTGACTGGAGAATAACAACGATTTCAAGTGTACTACGATGCGGACGAAAACCCGATTGAATTGCAGTTGATATCTGATGTTTTTGTAGATACCACAAGAGAGGTTTATTGATCATTTTTTCAAATAGTCAGGGCCGCCGCTACCATGTGTACGATGTATTCAAAACACACAGGCAGCCAATTGAAAAGGGCGGCCGATTGAAAGGGGTTGCCGCTGCCGATCCTAATGCAAAAAAAATCATGTGCAGTGCCTGTGAGGTACCGAATTGTATACAATAATATTATTTGGTGATGTAATCTGTTTGTATATATAAAGATGACTATAGGTACCACCTTTGAATTCTAATTTCAAAATATTCACACCTCAATTGCTCGGTAACCGTTAAGCAAATTGCATTGAAATTTTCAGCATTTGTAGCTCTTATTAGGCTCTAAATGGCCTGTAATTTACAATATTTTCAGATTTATAATTTTTGAGCAAATTGAGTTTGAAGTCTTTGGCAAAATTTGGACTTAAAGTCAACTTTGAGTCTGAATTGCTCAAAAACTATTTGAGCTATCAAACTCAATTTGGCACGGATTAATAGAGAATTTAATGCCCTTTTCAATGGTATATAATTATATTATTACAATTTGCTTGAAATTTAACAAAGATATGGGTTTATTTGTTTGAGGGATTAATTTTCAATAAAACTCGATGGGTACCTATGAATTATTTTGAAGTGAAAACTTCATTCAATGCAATTTGCTTAACGGTTACCGAGCAATTGAGGTGTGAATATTTTGAAATTAGAATTCAAAGGTGGTACCTACCCTTATGAAAAACTCGATTTTTTTTATTTTCCAGTTTTGCTCAATTTTGACTTTATCAATCGATAGAGCGAGTCAAAATTAGTGGAAAACAAATCTGTCATCAATTCCAAATGGCCATTTTATTTAAGCAGAAACAAAAATAAAAAGAGAATCTTAATTTTGAGTCTGGAAAATTTTCAAAATCTTGACATGGTCATCAACAATTGCCCATTTCTTTGTTAAATTTCGAGCAAATTGAAATAAATTACATACCATTGGAAAAAGCATTAAATTCTCTATAAGTCGGTGCAAAATTGAATTTCATAGCTCAAATAGTTTCTGAGCAATTAAGCTTCAAAGTTGACTTTCAGTTCAAGTTTTTTCAAAAACTTCAAACTCAATTTGCTCAAAAACTATAAATCTGCCAATATTGTAGATTACAGGCCATTTAGAGCTTAATAAGAGCTACAAATGCTGAAAATTTCAATGCAATTTGCTTAACGGTTACCGAGCAATTGAGGTTTGAATATTTTGAAATTAGAATTCAAAGAGAGCCCTATGAAAAACTCGATTTTTTCATTTTCCTAGTTTTACTCAATTTTGACTTTACCAATCGATAGAACGGGCCAAAATTAATGAAACGCAACCCTGACGTCAATTCCAAATGTCCATTTTACGCAGAAACAAAAATAAAAAGAAAATCCTATTTTTGGCTCTGGAAAATTTTCAAAATTTTGACATGGCCATGAGCAATTGCCCATATATTTGTCAAATTTTGAGCAATTTGGAATAAATTATATGCCGTTGAAAAGAGCATTAAATTCTCTATAAATTCGTATAAAATTGAGTTTGATAGCTCGAACAGTTTTTGAGCAATTGAGCTTCAAATTTGATTTTTAGTTCAAATTTTGTCAAAAACTTCCAACTCAATTTGCTCAAAAACTATAAATCTGGGATTATGTTAATTACAGGCCATTTAGAGCTTAATAAGAGCTACAAATGCTGAACATTTCAATGCAATTTGCCTTACGGTTACCGAGCAATTGAGGTTTGAATATTTTGAAATCAGAATTCATTATAAAACTCGATTTTTTTATTTTTTAGTTTTGCTCAATTTCGACTTTAATAATCGATAGAGCGGGTCCAAATTAGTGGAAAACAACCCTGACATCATATCCAAATGGCCATTTCAAGCAGAAACAAAATTAAAAAGGAAATCCCATTTTTGGCTCTACAAAATTTTCAAAATCTTGACATAGTCATGAGCAATTGCCATATCTTTGGTAAATTTCGAACAAATGAAAATAAATTATATACCATTGGGAGAAGCATTAAATTCTCTATAAATCTGAGCAAAATTTAATTTCATAGCTCAAATAGTTTCTAAGCAATTAAGCTTCGAAGTTGACTTTCAGTTCAGACAAAATTTCAAACTTAATTAGTTCAAAAGCTGGGAATATTGACGGAGAAAGATAGTGGAGAGAGACAGCTAATAACAGACAACGAACTGCCACGAAAAGCCACAAAACAAGGATTATAAGCAAAGAGGATTGCCTATTATTGTCAAGCGCCGATACTCCTGTGACGTCATTACAGATACACGTTTCCCTTTTGCGTGTTCCTTCCTTCTTCTTTACCACGGTCCAGGACTCATACGTTAAAATTGTATTCCATTCCAACGCTCTTCTTTAGATCATTTAGATGGGAATGGGGCGGCGAAAATTGTCTGGGCACACAGGCGGCTAACACACTAGTGGCGACCCTGCAAATAGTCTACACATAGTGCATGTCAAAGATATAGGGCGATAGGAGCTTGATTCAAGGGTAGTAGAGTATCCTTTACGAAATGGCAAAATAATTCAATGACACCATTGTGACGGAAAGGTATGACTTGTCCAAATTTTATTATGTAATTCCAAAAGTTTTTCTAGGCTAGATGGAGGGAGATTTTTCAGAAAAATTAAGGGTATATCGTCTGGTCCAGCAGCGGTTGACATGACGTGTGTATAGAGCTTCAGTCAATTCCATGGTAAAAAAGGGTATATTAGGAGCATCTGAGTATGGTAATTTCCTAGCAGGAGCCTGTTGGAAATTCTGGTGAGCATGATCGTTTTTTTTTTAAATTTAGACTGGTCATAATCAGCAAGAGCATCTGCCATTGATGATACTGTAGCGCAGCTGTAGTCTTTACGGAAACGAGACTGAACAAAAGGTAGGTAGTAAACTGATGAGCTTGCATAAAGTCACGAATCTTGCTCTCCAGCACTGTTTCCAGGACCTTCGATAGCGTTGGCAGAATGCTTATGGGTCGAAGATCATTCAGATCCTCAGGCACAGGAACTTTTGTGATCGGAAGTAGAAAAGAACTCTCCCAGACATTTGGAAAGAAGGAAGCCTCTATGCTGGAGTTAACCAAATGTACAATAAACAGGAGGATGTGAGGGCAACAGTAATGAAGCATGGATAGTCCAATACCATCAGTACAAACAATCAATGACTTAATTAAAATGAAGGCTGTGTGAACTTCTTCAGGGGTAGTGAGTCTTAGCTCAAAAGAGTAAGGTGGCTGGGTCAAGGGATTGATGAAGAAGCAGCATTTATAAAAAAATTATTGATGTCATCAACATCACCAAGATGGTCAGGAATGGATTTAGGATCCTTCGAATATATATACCAAGCTCCCCAAGCAACTTCCAGTAATTTTTTTGATTACCTATACTCATGATTAGTTTCAAGGTAATTTTTTTTTCCCGGTTTGAATCGCGATTTTTATTGGATTACGGAATCGTCGATAGTATTCCCAATTTTCTGGCGTGTTTTGTTGCTTAAATTTAGATATAGGGTCTTGTTCCATTGCTTCATAGTGAGCCTTAAGCCTTAACTGAATGGTTGCAGGTGACTACATGTGATATATATGATATACTCGGCTAAAATACATATTATAACAATGGAAACTATAACAAAAATGATGGTGTACTAATTTAATAACTAATAAAATAATAAGGCAAACATTAAATGCAAACGTTAAACACATTAAATTAAGTTTATCACATTTTTTAACAATAAGCAGAATTGTACTTGAATATTGTGGTATTGCTTTTGGAATCACTGCTGTCTATAAACCCCCACCAGTGATTGATGAGATATTTGAAGGACTTTAAAGCC